GGAGGGAGGGAGGGAGGGTCCCCGTTCCATCCGCCTTCTTTCTCTATGTTTCAGGGGCTGCACCAAGTACACGCGGCAGGTAAGGAAGGTGTACCCCCAGGGGGGTAGGATCGAAAACGAAGAGGGCGGGTGGCGAGGATTTGAAATAGACGTGTTGAATGGCACGCGAGCAGGTAAGAGCGAACAGCATTGAACATGACTGTTGTTGTTGTTGTTGTTGTTGTTGTTGACGTTGTTGTCGTTGTTGACGAGTTTGTTGTTATAATTGTTAGTGTTATTGTTGGGGTTGTTGTTGGTGGTGCTGCTGTGGTTGTTGTTGGTGGTGTTGGTGTTGTTGTTGGTGTTGCTGTGGTTGTTATTAGTAGTGCTGGTGTTGTTGTTGCTGCTGCTGTTGCTGGTGTTGTTACTTTTGCCAATGTTGTTTGATATTGATGTCGTCGCTTCACTCGCGACCGGGCCCGCGACAAGGCCCGCGACCCGCCCCCGACCCGCCCGCGACCCGCCCGCGACCCACCCGCGACCCAACCGCGACCCAACCGCGACCCAACCGCGCCTCAGCCGCGACCCAGCCCCGACCCACCCGCGACCCACCCGCGACCCACCCGCGACCCAACCGCGACCCAACCGCGCCTCAGCCGCGACCCAGCCCCGACCCAGCCGCGATCCACCCGCGAGCCACCCCGCGCCCGGCCCTTCACTCTTATCCGCAACTTCGGGGTGCTACATCGACCTCCTGCATGGCACCTCCCCCTTCCACGCGTGCCCGCTCGAGGATGGTCCACGTCCCGCACGGCAGCTAATGCTTCGGCCCCCTTCCACGCGTGCCCGCTCGAGGATTGTACTCTCCCCGCATGGCAGTTCATGCGTGGACCCGCATCCCATATGCGCCCGCTTGGGGATTGCGTATTTCCCGCATGGCTGCTACCTTCTAGACCCCTGCTCATCCCACGCGCACCTGCTCGAAGATCATGCGCGGCCCGCATTCGCGGGCGCTGCTCTCGAGCGCTCCAGGGCCTCCCAAACCACGATCTTTGCTTCAAGACAGCGGATCTTCGTCCCACGCATCCAGGACGGCCCGCGCAGGCAACCAAGGGCACCAAGATGGCTCAATATCGACGACGGCCCAAGATGGTTCCACGGCGGTCGACTATTGTTTGAGACGGCCCAAGATGCTTCCAGGAGGGGCAAAAAGGGCTACAAGAGAATCTCCAGCAATGCCTGAAGAAACCACACTCATCGATTTCCCAAACAGGTCTTTGAATGAATTTCGCATTCTCGCCTTTTGGGCTGCCGTCGGCTCAAGGCGGCCTACGGGGACTCCACGATGGCCCAAGAATTGAACAGGGACCGACCGTCCTGGCATTCCCATAGGCCTACCACGACATGTTCTTAGAACCCAAAGCTGTGAGAACAACAATCTTCATACACCAAAAACCGATGTGTTAAAACGTAGCATTCCCAGCCAGAACAGGTTCTAAGAACATTTCGTACAGACCACAAAAGGTTATCAGAACAGTGTTTGGTGAGCCTATAGGCGAGCCAGGACGCTTCGCCGCTGCTGGGGAGAGGCATTCACAAGGACCAAAGACGCTTCCAAGACGGCCCAAGAGGGTCTCCTGTGGGACCCAAGACAGCCCCACGACAACACCCCAGACACCCACGAACATGGCCAAAGAAGGGCCAAGACGGCCCACGAGAACCCCAAGCCAGCGCAAGAGGGCCCCAAGACGGCCCAAGAGGGCCCAAGGGACCCCCAAAGCCCCCGAACTTGCCTCGACAGAGCATCATCATCATCATCATCATCATCATCATCATCATCATCATCATCATCATCATCATCAGCATCATCATCATCGTCATCATCATCACCATCTCCTGCTACACCCCAAACCACCCTATACGTTTCTGTGCGGCGGGCGTCCCGGGCGATTCCACCGAAGGCGCAGCAGCGAGCGAACGAGACACACGGCAGAGAGAGAAGAGGAGAAGGAGGACCCAACGCACCCACACAACACCGAGGAGGAAAAAACGAGACGAGGGAAAGGCGGGCGGGCCAGCAAAAGACTTTAGCCGACGCGGTCGCGGCGTAGTGCGTGACCACGACGGCCTTCGGTTCCACCTGAGATGAGATGTGCAAACACGGCCATCTCCTGCTACACCCCAAGCCGCCCTATACATTTCTGTGTGGCGGGCGCCCCGGGCGATTCCACCGAAGGCGCAGCAGCGAAGGAACGAGACACACGGCAGAGAGAGAAGAGGAGGAGGAGGGCCCAGCCCACCCACACAACACCGAGGAGGAGACTCGAACCCGAGAGGAGAAGTGGAGATGGCGCCGAACGTACATAAACCTAAAAATGAGCACGAAGCACATTACCTAGAGTACTTATCAAAGACGGGACAGGCAAGGGAGACCAAACGCCTGAAATCCTGTTTGCCTTGCAATTCAATTGGACAAATCCGCAGGCCCCCTTGTGGGGTCATCAGGCTGCGAGGATTAAGGTTGCTGCTCCCTGCGCCAGTTCCAGTTTCCAGTTTCCATTGTTACAGTACTGCTTTCTGCTTCCTACTGTAAATGGTTACTGTCCGCTCGAGGGGGGGGAGCCGAAAAGGTCCTTGGTTAGCGTCCCCCGGGAGGGTTCTCAGAATTTCTAGGGGGGGGGGGGCGTGGGAAAAGTAAAAATACTGGAGTTACGTGCCCCCCATGCCATACTCCCTCGCAAATTACGCTGTGTTCGCGCCCCCGAGGCCACGACCCCTTGTAAATTACGCCGCATTCGAGTCGAGGCTACGATCCCGCGTAACTTACGCCACATTCGAGTCTCCGAGGCCACGATCCCTCGTAATGTACGCCACATTTGCGTTTCCGAGGCCACGATCCCTATAACATTACTCTATATTCGTGCCCTCGAGGCCACGATCCCTTGTAATTTACGCCTCATTCGCGCCCCCGAAGCCACGATCCCATGTAATTTACATCATGTTCGCGCCCCCGAGGCCACGACTCTTTGTACATTACAACGAATTCGCGCCCCTGACGCCACGATCCTTTGTAAATTACGCAACGGGCGCGACCCCGAGGCCACGAATCCGACATGCGGAGGCTGCCGAAAAGGCACTCCTCCTCTCCAAAGCAGAAGCATGACAATTTTCTGGATTGGGATATGCGCGCCGCTGGTATTATTTTGCCCCCCCCGCCGTTTCTGGCAAATTCGGCGGTGGGTTCCACATTCACCCCCCCAGGCCACGATCCCTCGTAAGTTACGCCTCATTTGCGCCCCCGAGGCCACGATCCCTCGTAAAGTACGCCGCTGTCGCGCCCCCCAGGCCACGATCCCTCGTAAGTTACGCCGCTGCCGCGCCCCCCAGGCCACGATCCCTCGTAAGTTACGCCGCGTTCGCGTCCCCGAGGCCACGATCCCTAGCAAATTACGCCAAATTCGCGCGCACCCCCCACGCTACGAATCCATCTCGCGGAAACTGCCCAAAGGCGCCACTCCTTCCCCAGAGCTGAAAAAATAACCTTCCCAGAGATTGCCTGAAGCAGTCCCCGGTCGTTCCCAGAACGCTCCCAGTCAACAGCTGGAGGAAAATGCCAAGAAGGCAACAAAGCGTTCTCCAACAACTTCAACATCCTAATCTGTTTTGCTCATCGCCAGCCGCCCTAGCATGACGTTCCCGGGTGTCATCAAGACGGCGCCCGAACATCCCAATCTAGCTCTGATGTATCCCATTATGATAGAGAGGGGGCCGGCGGCAGGGGGCGAAACCCTTACGGATAGTTACAACGCTTGACAGGATAAGGTTAGGCAAGGCGGGTCCACAAGACCCCCGATACAGGGTCAAGGCCAGAGAGGACTATGTGGGACTTGCCAGAAAAAAAAACAGAGGCCCTTTCTACAACTGCGCCGCGGCCTCACGAGAACGTCAGGGTGGTGACGGGCCCAGCAGGCCGCACGCGTGAACTTCCTCCAGCGGGCCCCGGACGAACACATGCCGACGTCGAACGACACGGCGTCGCTGGCCCCCAGCAGGGCCTTCCTCGCTGGCGCACTCCAGACCCATGAGCCTCCCGGGTTCTCGAGGTAGACGGGGGTCCCGAGAGCCTGACGCAGTGAGATCAGGCCCAAGGCGAAACGGAGCTGCTGGTTCCCGAGGTCGACGGCCGCCTGCGGCCTGGCTGCAAGGTTCGGCAGCCCCCAGACGTGGTCTTTTGAGCGGGTAGTACACCAAGAAGACCCAGGCGGCCCGTGTCTGGCCTGGCTCCAAGATGAACGCGGCAAAGCTATCCAGACAGCCGAAGCGACCCCGCCTCGCACCCGCCCTCGCGCGACCTGGCGGACAACAGGATGTCGAGATCAAACCACCGCTTCGAAGCGAAATCCATCGGCAGCGCGGCGAGCCCGCGGCGGTGCAGCGCTGCTGACTGGCGGCCAGTCCCCGCGAACAACTCCAGGACAGCGGTCCGAGGGGGGCCCTTGTGACGTCTAAAGCTTTCGTGAAGCTCGATGAGGAGGCGACGACGGATCGATTTCGTCGAAGGGCCCCCCCTCGCACGGGCCAGCGAGCTCTACCGCCCGCGCGAGGTCAGGCAGAGCTCGGGCAGCGGCGCCACCAGCAGGAGGATCGGCGGCATCGCTGCGTCCCTGCGCTGGCCGAAGGAGAGCTCGCGCTGGCCGACGAGCCGCATCTCGGTGATGATGCGAGCGTGCTTGGCGCGCTGCCTGAAGTTCTCGTCGGGGGCCCAGCCGCCGCGCAGCTGGGCGTCGAGGGCGGCTGGGCCCCTGGCCAAGGGGCCGTCCGCAGCTCCCCTGTGGCGCAGCCCGTAGGCGGGGGCTGGGAAGTCGTTCGCCCCCAGCGCGCAGGCAGCCTCCCTCATGCTCATGCCGAGCGAGCCTGGAGGGAAAGACCAGATCCGTGACGATCCCAATGGCGCTCGGCGTCCCAGGCCGAGGAGCGCGGGGAACAGGAACACGAGGGGGGTCGATCACCGCGGTGAAGTCTCAGAGGCCCATCATCCCGGGCCGTCCCAGCTCGCCTGGGGACAGCAGCAGCACGGCGAGCCCCGCGCCCTCGGCGTCCGCCCCGGCGGGGGGGACGACCTGCATGGTTGTCAGCTGGTCGCGCTCCGACGGCCGGGGGTAGCGCGTGACGCTCCGCATCATGGCGATGGCCTGCTCGATCTGGCCGCGGCGCAGCGGCGCGCCAGCTGGCGCTGCTGCCGGCCGCCAAGGCAGCGGCGGGCGCATGCCGTGGGGGGCGCACTTCCCTCGCCCTACCAGGCCGCGGGAGGCTGGGCAGAGCGTCTGGTCGACCCAGCGGCGGAGCGGCTGCAAGAAGAACTTCTGGGCGGCCAGTAGAAGCGACGCGTCGTCGTCGCTGTGGCCGACGAGGTACAGGTAGTCGAAGTGGGTGGCGGCTCCAGCCCAAGTGGAGCTGCGAGCGCCGCCCGATGAGGGCCCCCGCCGTCCTCTGGTGGCCCCTCGACGCGGCCTTGCTGATAGACCGCGGCTCGAGGAATGCGACCCCCATCAGGGGGCCCCCCATTCGAGGCCTCGCGCTGGCAAGCGGCCGTTGCCTGCGCAACAGCGACCGCCAAGAACCCAGCGCCGGCAGCCGGAGGGGGGGGCTGGAGCTGAAGGGCCAGCCCTGTCGGAAATGGGCGCCAAGCGGATCGGCCCCGCATCCCCGCAGGAGTCTCGATGACCACGGAGACGGCTGCCAAGAGCCACAGCCACCTCGGCGTCGATACCCCTCGATGTAGCTGAGGTCGCGCGAGGGAGCGTCCGCGTGGTTGAGCTCGCCGGGGGCCCACCTCGCGACGACGTGCAGTCTGCAGGCCAGGGAATAGGCGCAGATCACTCGCAGGACGCTGCGCTGCTGCGTCGAGGACCCGCGACCCTTGCCGATGGCGAGGGCGAGTGGCATGTTGTCGACCGGGCACGCGATCCTCTTCCTGAAGGCGTCCGCGGCCCTGAGCTGGCGGCGCAGCGCGGACGCGACGGGGGCCCCTTCGCGCGGTAGATGTCGAAGGAGCCCCTCCACGGGAACGAAAGGGCGATGGCCCAGCCGTCCGCGGTAAGCAGGTTCGGGTCGACCTCGCCGATGGACTTGCCCCAGTCCTTGCCCCGTCCGTCGGCAGACAGCCGGGTGCGCCAAGTACTGCGCCAGGAGAGCCAGGGCCAAGCGCATGGTCGCGGGCGCGCGCCGACTCCTGGAAGAGGCGCAACCGCCTCTCGGCAGCGCGGCCAATCTCGGCCACGGCCTCGCGGCCGCAGCGGCGGCGGCAGACCCCGCAGCCCCGGCCCGAGGCGTCGCTGGCGGTGATCTCGCCGCGCCAGTCCGCGTCAGTGAAGACGCCGAAGAGCGGCAGTATATAGCGGACGTGCTAGACCTCGCGACGCGCCACGGGCCAGAGCGGCATCGCCTCGTCCTTCGCCGCCAGGATGAAGGCGTTGACGGAGTCGAAGATGGCCAGCGAGCATCTCTTGAGCAGCATAACCCAAGTGCAGTGGCCGACGACGATCCCCAGAATGGGCCCGCGTATCTTCGGGCGTCGGAGGAGCTCCTCGATGGCGTGTCCCTGGGCGCCGCGCAGAGACCCGCGCGGAGTGGTGGTGCCCATCAAGCTCGAGGCCTACAAAGCTGGTAGACCTGGTAGGCTCCGCCTGCTCGTGGGCGACAAAGCCGAAGGGGGGGAGCCCCCGCTCGACCCGGCGGCCCGCGGCGTGAACCCTGGCGCGCTGCGGGCCAGCAACGAGGTAGTGGTCCACGTGCGCGGCGCCAGCGGCAGGCAGCTTGGGCGCGGGCGCCGCGCCGCGGCTGCGGTCGCGGACCTGCCGCGCGGGGCCGGCGCGGGCCCGGGCGAGCGCGGCCCCCGAAACGCACGGGCAGAGGTGCAGGGCCCCACGCGTCGCCGCCGCCCTGCGCCCCCCTGCGAGCGAACGCGCTGCCGTTAGGCAGCTCGGCGAAGGGCGGCGGCTTGAATCGCGCGTCGCAGACCCGGGCGTCGAAGATGAGCCGCTGTTGGCCCGACTTCTTCGCGGCCGCGAAGAGCCCGCGGCGGCCGCGACCAGGAACGAGGCGCAACATGCCCTTGTCCAGGAGCTCGCTAATGAACTTCCCGCAAGTGGCAGGGTGTGGTACTTTAGGGTCAATGTAGGGTTGGGGCAGTCCGAGATCTCGTCGAAGGGCCGCTGCTTCCCCGGGTGGGCGTAGCACGCGGACCTTCCAATCCTGCAGCTGCAGACGGTCAGCCTCCGAAAGTGCGTCATGAAGCGCCGCCGGCGCAGAGCCGCCAGCTGGCCAGGACACGAGGTCCTTGCTGTAGGAGACCACGTTGCCGCGCCCCGCAGGGTAGAGCGGGCAACTGGAGCAGATGTCGGAGAGCGAGCTCGAGCGAGAGATGTCAGAGGGCGGGCCGCCGAACTTGACATGCTGCGCGGCGATGTAGTCGAGCGACCGCTGCTGCAATACTGCGGGGCGCTTCCGGATCGGCGGCGTCCCGCCCCCACCATGCCAGTTGAGCGCCCCGATGCCGTCGCTGGCCCAGTCAACCCGAGCTGGGGCACCAGCGCGACCGCCGGCGTCGTGGGGGGCGTCGCGAGGAAGAAGTGGAAGTGGGAGGTCGTTTCGCTGACGGCTGACAGCCATGGCGTTGGGACCGCGATGTCAGGAGCGAGAGGCCAGAGGGGGGCCCTCCAGGATGGCCAAAGTCCTGGCGGCCGCCGCAAGCACGATGAAAAGCGCTGGCTAAGACTTACCAGCCTTGCCCGCGCCGCTGCCCGGTCCACCGCCTCGGCCACCTGCGGGCGGGTGGAGCAGCTGCCGCTCGTCACGCGCCTTGCGGCGCTCCTTCGCGATGGCCGAATGGGCGGCGAGCGGCGCGGAGATCCACTCCGACAGGGCAGGCCGCACCATGAACGCGCGAGGGGAACTGCTCGTGGCCTCCGCTGCCGGGGGAACGAAAGCACGCCAGCTTGTCCTTACACCTTATCCGCCAGGGCTGGGGCTGTCGGGCCACGAGCTCAACCGCTGCCAAATTCGAGCGGTCGGCCTGATCATACAACAGGGCTACCTGCATGATCGTCGAGAACTCGTGATGCAACGAAACGATAGGGTCGTCCACAAGCACAGTCGACCCCAGACCAGCCTTCCAGGCCAGGCGACGTCCCATCGGCGAGCCTCCGTTCTCTATCTGGTAAGTCGCGGCCCAGTGGTGCGGGGCCAGGCACGTCCCGAACGGGAAGGCTCGTCGGCCGCGTGAGCTGGACGCAGTCCCTGAACTCCCGATGGCGTGGCCCAAGAACGTCGTACGCGGTCGCGTGCGTCCGAAGGTCTCTAAGCCTGGCGGCGGCTCCGCCGTCGACCGCAAGGGGTGCGGCAGCGACAGCACCGTCACCTCCAGTGGCGGGCGGGGGCAGGGCAGCAGCCCGCGCAGCGGGCCCTGCCAGCCCTCCGCCCGCGGCGGGGGCGCTCGCCGCGCCAGCAGCGGCTGCCGGGGCGGGGGCGGGGGCGGCAGCCGCGGTGCCGCCTGCGGCAGCAGGCGAGCCCGCGGCGACGCCGCCTCCCAAGGGGGTTCCGCCTGCAACCGCGGCGAGGGCAGGAAGGGCACCATGGTCACCAAGAGCAGGAGAGGCAGCAGCAGGACCCGCATCAGCGTCACGTTCTTGCTCGGTCATCTTCGCAGCTCCGCGGGCGCAGGCCTGCGCCGGCCGGGCGACCGTCGGCGTCGCGGCTAAGTCGGAATGCCGCCGTCCAGCTGGAGTGACGGCGCCCACCGGCTTTGCGGCGGGGCCCCACTTCCTCCTCCACCAGTTGCGGACGCCACCGTCCCCTGCATCGTACTCCTCTGCGTACGCGTCCGGGAACGGCGTGGCCGCCGGCGCGGCCGCCGCGGGCGCGCCAAGGGCCGCGGGTCAGCGGGCGGCGGCCACCAGCGAACCCGGCGCAACATAATCGCGTTGTTTGCGAGCGGGAGGCCGATCTTGGAACCCGTGAAGCTTATCCGGGTGGAGGCCTCGCCCTCCAGCTACAGACTTGAACCGACGCGGTCGCGGCGTGATGCGTGACCACGACGGCTTTCGGTTCCACCTGACATGGGATGTGCAAACACGGCCATCGTCGTCAACGTCATCGTCATCGTCATCGTCATCGTCGTCGCCGCGATCAACAACATCAGTCATCAGCCGTCAACCATCAAACACCAAACACCCATCACCAACAAAATCATCATCACCATCACCACCACTATCACCATCACCATCATGATCACCATCACCATCATCATACCCGTCATCATCATCAGCAACCGCATCGTCACCAGCACCATCACCACGACCATCAACAACATCACCATCGGCACCAACATCATCATTATCAGCCGACACCTTGTGGGTGTCTAGACGTGTAAGCTGCTTCCCCGCCATACCCTCCCCCAAAAGGACCCCAAACAAAGAATTTGACCCCCCGCCGGCCCAGGACGACCCACTCCCGAATTCACCAGGGCTGACCCCGATCTCACCGGGGGGGCGGGGGCCGGCCCTTCCCAAGCTTTCTTTGGAGCGCCAAGACAGCCCCTGAGGCCTCCCAAGAGGGCCCCGAATCGCCGCGATACTGCTCGAACGCGCCCAAGATGGCCTCCAGACGGCGCGCGATGCCTCCCAAACGCTCCGCGAGGCCTCCTAGGGAGGTCCCCCAAACGGCCCCCAACAGGACAAATCGCTTGGTTCTTTGAGGAAAACCATCTGTTTACCTGATTCGCCTCTTGGGCTTTCACTACGCCCAGCGCGGCCCAAGAGACTTCCAAGAGGGCTCCGAGACGCCCCCCCAAAAAGGTTCCAAAACAGCCAAAAAAGAGGCCCCACAAACGGACCATGAAGTCCCAAGACAACCCCAAGAGGGCGCCCCGAGGGGGAAACCACACGGAAATTCCAAGCCTTCGGATTCAAGTGCGTCCAGGCTGCCCCAGGAACCCCCCAACAAACCCCACGAGGCCTCCAGGGAGTATCACGCAGGGCCCCTTCCCCCAACCCCATCCCAAGAACCCCCCAGCTGGTTCCCCAAAGACCCAAAACTGCCTCCAAGACGCCCCCGACAAGGCCGGACACGAGACCCCATCATCCATCCGATTGGCCTCCGACCCACAACCCAGGCACGGTGGCGGGATAGGTCGAAGGCCTTTCAGTACCCCCCCCCGTGTTTTGACATATGCCCGCCGTCTGTGAGCGTGGGTATTCGCCGCCTGTTCCCCCTTGCGCGAAAGGCTAACACTGCGAATGTCAGCCGCGGACAACACAATGAACCCAAAGAGCATCCGTCAAGACACTGACAAAACCACTCCCGTAGTCATCCGGGAGTGCTCCGAAGAGAGTTCACGAAGCATCCCTGGGACTTTCGTCCTCATGCCGGGATAGGCCCAACACGTGTCAGATTTCACGGTCCGTGCGCTCGCACAAGGTCCCCAGCTTCAGAATGAAGCGTGCGGCGTCCTCCCGAAGGTCAGCAGAGGCCTGAGCGAAAACATTCAGACCACATCCAACTTCTCCTCCTTTTTCGTTCCTCCTCCGCTTCCTCCTCTTCCTCGGCCTTCACATTCCCACTCCTCCTCATCCTCCTGCCACCAGCGGCCCCGAGCATTCGCCCGCTGCCACGAGCGTTCCACCGGGTCTCACGCGCACGACTTGCACTTCAGGGTGCTGCTCTGGGAACGCGCGGAATGCAGTCCAACGGCGATTGGAGATTTCGGGGGGTCCTTTTGCAGGTGCCGCAGCACTCATACGCTTACCAACTGCGCGCCGTGAAGCCGAGGTCCAAGCAGTCTGCGCATACAGCTTGACTTTTCCTCGTGAAGTGGTCGCTCTCCTGTCTGTC